GTGTTTGTATCTGTTTTATGGATTCCATTTGTTTCCTATGTTGGGATTCCATCATGTTCCTCAGATCCTCTTTTTTTTTAATCTGTGTCCTCTCTAGATTTATTAATCATGTCTTGCACCATGAGCAAAATCTTTGCTGTTATCTGAGTAAGTATATCTGATTTCATTTTTCCCAGATCCTCTCTTGTTGCCAGTTCAGAGAGTCCAGGTGGTTAAGTATCAGAATTTTCCATCTCGTTTCCCTTTGGGGTTGGTGCAGGTGATTTGGAAGTCTGTTTTTTGAGGCTTGTTTATGTGTCTTCTCATTTCCACGGGGGGCAGGGGGTGCTTCTGGTGCCCACGTGATTCACCTCTGCCCTAGGAGCTTGGGATGGCATCAGGGGAGCTTCCTTCCGGGTGCTGGGACTGGCTGAGCTTTTCTACCGATGGAGCCTGGGATGGAGGCGGGGAGCTTCCTTCCGGGTGCTGGGTCTGGCTGAGCTTCACTGCTCTAGGAACCTGGGATGGTGGTGGGGGAGCTTCCTTCTGGGTGCTGGGTCTGGCTGAGCTTCACTGCCCTAGGACCCTGGGATGGCAGTGGGGGAGCTTCCTTCTGGGTGCTGGGTCCGGCTGAGCTTCTCTGCCCTAGGAGCCTGGGATGGTGGTGGGGAGCTTCCTTGCAGGTACTGGGACCGGCTGAGCTTCTGACATGATATATCTTGATTTCTCTTTTTCTCCCAATCCCCTTTCCTCCCTTCAGCCTCCCCTCCCCCCTTATTTACAAAAGCTTTGTTTGCATTCTTTTTTCCTTGGCTTTTTTCTCCCTTTGTCCGTTTTCCTTTCCTTTCCCCCCTTTCCCTTTGAACAGTTTCTTCCTCTTTCATATTATCTGTTATACATTTTGGTCCTTATTTACCCTTTCAGTTTCTCATACCAGAGAGACAATGCGATATTTATGTGTATATGTACGATTTATTTCACTTGATATAGTCTCAAGTTGCATCCATTTAGCTATAAATGTCTCAAGTTTTTCTTTATGTCTGAGTAGTACTCTTGTATAAAAACACATCTTTTTTATCCATTCATCAGTTGATAGTCATTTGGGTTGTTTCCAAGATTTAGCTCTTACAAACTGTCGCTGTAAACATGGTATGCATATATCATTGTAGTATGATGTTTTTATGAGATA